ATATATATATATATATATATATATATATATATATTAAAGATCTTTTATCTCGTGCTGAGAGATATTTTAATTCTTTTTATTTAATTATATGACAATAAAAATTAATTTTCATAAATAATTTAAATTCTATAGGATAAAAAAATAATTTAAATTGATTTGAAATAAAAATAAAAAAGGTATCTATATTTTTTTAATCAAAACCATTTTCCTTATTAATACGTTCCATTTTTTTTAGTAATGTTTTTATAAAATTGTTTTTTTTAATAACAACCAATCATAATCTTATAAATAAGTTTTAATTAAAAGATAAAAGAATAATGAATTGATGATTTTCTTTAAAAAAATATATTTTTTTTAGCTATGTTTTTATTCCATAAAAACCTAAAAGCAATTAAAATAATAAATATGGACAAAAGTTTTCATGATTTTATTGAAATAAAGATATAAAAGATATCTATTTAATAAAAAAACTTTTTTTTTAATTAATCCATCCTCTCTTTTTTTGGATAGTATTTTATAAAAAACATTGTTTCTTAAATAAAAAAAACCTTATCATAATCATAAACGTAAATACCTTGATCTCGGGCGCAGGGGTAGTGTTCTTTGAATCAAACTGCCTTCGTTCCTTGGCACGCTGGCAACAAAGAGGAAGCCCAGATACCAAAATATTAAAACAGAAACATTCCTAAAATATATAGAATTTTGTAGCTCGATAAATGATGATCAAATTAATAGCATACCATTTCATCTGTTTTTATGTATATCTCTTCAGTTCTTTCGGAAAATTCTTCAGCCAACTCATATGGTGTCCAATTGCTATTGTTAACAATGAAACGTTCAACGCGATTGTCACTCACAAGAAGAAATGTAGCCATGCAATGGCCATACCTTGCTGCCAAATGCAAAGGTGTATTTCCATCCTCATCTATCGCATTTAGCAGCGGTGCGTCGGGCTTCCGGTCCTGTTTGAGTATATACCTAACCACATTGCCATTTCCATATTTGGCCGCTACATGAAGAATGTTCTGCCCTTTCTTATTGAGGAATTCTTTTGGATATGGGAACATATCAAGAAATTCCTTCACTATATCAACAGACTGACTTTTGCATGCTAGATGGATAGGATAGTTGCCTTCAAGGTTTGTTTCATAAGCACCATCGTGAAACTTCTTTAATAGGAATCGAACTCCTTCCAGAAAACCTATGGATGATGCATAATGCAGTGAATTTCCCAACTCTTCCTCGGTGAGACGTAATAGCTCTGGCTTTTCCTTTTCAATTTTCTCCAAAATATCTGAAAATCAAACCAAATGAATATAAAGATGATAGCTTTGCAACAATTGTTTGTATGTAATTCAGTTTCTAGTGAGTAATGAAATTGTGATCACCTCTGTTACGTTGCTTGATGGCAGCATGAACAGGGGACTTTCCTTTTGGTACGGCATCACCATCTTCACTTTTTATAGGGAACGAAACTTCCGTTTTCAAGAGATCATCAAGTATCTTTTTCTTATTGCCGTTCTCAACTGCCAGATATAAAGGAGACTTGCCATTATTGTTGTTGTAATAGGCCACTTCTGGATAGCTGGACACTAGGAGTTTGGCAACTTCTTTGTTATCGGTGATCACTGCATCATGCAAAGGAGTGTTTCCCTTTGTATTTTTCTTCCTGATCAAGCTCGGATTCAATTCCACAAGAGATTTAATTGTATGACTGGCCTTTCCTTCTCTGGCAGCAAGATGAAGGATTGTGTCCTTCTGGCTGTTTTGGATGGTGATTAGAGAAGGAAACGTTCGAGCCAGATAAGATGTAATATTGTCACTTCCATAGCTTACAGCTACATGAAGTAATGAGTTCCCACAGGGAGTCACAAGCTGCTTTGTTGAACGTTGCTGGATGCGGCTTTCAAATTCTTCAATGTTGTCCTTCTTCACACACTCATATAACTTGCTATCTATCTTTGTATTTGGCATGTGATCTCTCGGAATCGAGTTTTGAGCTATGTTTATTGCTACGCTAGACATAGCGAAAGAAAATGTTATTTTACTTGAATCAGCTATACGTATCAGACAGCTGGACTTCTAATTTAAATAGACCAGAAGGAGAGAGCAGCCTTGGCCATGGTTATAGCAGCATCTAGATAAGGAAAAGGAAAAGAGAAAGAAAAGGAGGAAAATGAGAATTATATTAGCATGTTTGTATCTAATATATTCTTTAGATATTACCTGTTCGTGTCATAAATTATAAAGCTAATAAAAATTTATCTTATAGTTAACTTCAAGTCTTAAAAAAATTAGTTAAAATTCGTGTAAATTAATTTAGAAACCTACGGTTACAAAAAAAATATTTGTTTTTATATTTAAAAAATTATTTTTTTAATTTTCTTTAATATTTTTAAATTATTTTAATGTGTTATATTTAAAATAATTTAGAATAAAAAATAAATTATTTTAATATATTTTTAAATAGAAAATAATTAAAAAAACAAATATATAACACTTTAAAATCAAGTCAAACGATAGTGTCAAATAACGAACTAAGACTTCGTCAACTATCTAAACAAACGTGTCGAGCACTCCTAACAATATGTCAGAAACTGATTTTGAGACAAATGTAAGGGCGTCTTCTTTTCGTTTTTTCTCTGTAGAGTTAATAGATTATGTAAAAATTGTTTTTTAAATATTTTTTATTTGAAATTATATTAAAATAATATATTTTTTTATTTTTCATAGTAACCTCGGTGAGAATGAAGAGGAAAATGACCTAGGTGTTTATTAAATTAACTTTTTAAAGCTGACAACATACAAAAGAAGTTTGAGAAGTGGAGGGATCTGTACTGGGATGCCATCAGGATGCATGATGATAAGCTGTAATTAAATTATTAATTATTAGTATTTATTCTTAAGTTATTGATAATATAAACCGTAACCTCAAATTTTCTCAATTAAAAATCTACTGGTAGTGTTTAATGTTTCCTTTACCAAAGCTGTTTTGGGTAAATTAAATTACCTCCGAGTCTGCCTTTTATATTTTTGGCTATTGTCTGACCAGGTCGTCAAAGAAGCCACAGATGCTGAATTTTCAGACAATGCTAGCGAAGTATTATTGGATGAAATCGCTTTCGTTTGGAAAAAGGAAATAAAAAAACATTAAAAAAAAAGTCTTAGTCTATGCAACTTGCTAGTCTTAAGTCTTTTATGGACTCGGTCTGTGTTGGATTCGGTCCATGTAGATGCAGATGGATGTGTCTCTTAGATGCAAGAAAGGTACTTCTTCCAGACTCGGATCTTTGATTTCCAAAATCGGGACAAGAGAATAGCTGTCAATTTTTAAAGTGTAGAACTCATTTCGATTGATTGTGTGGAACATAAGCGATATTTTTTAAAAATATACTGACTTATCCGAACACTCGGAATCCCGGGGCAGGGAGAAAAGCAGATGTTCTCTTCTCCTTAAATACATTTCAACTAATTCTTTAAGGATTTTAAATTAATGAACATAAATGTTTATTGTTTTTCAAACTAGTTATTTAAAAAAAATAAATTTAAGATATAAAATTAAGTTATATCTCTCAAAATTCTCTTTTACCTTCTTATTATAATTGATAGTTAAAGAGATTATTAATGAGATAATTTAAATTTAGATAGTAATTATTTTTTAAAATATTTTTTTATTTGAAAATATATTAAAATAATTTTTTTATAATTTTGATATCATCACAAATTTAAAGCAAATATCTTGAACTTGAAAACCTTATTAATTCAAATTAGAGGGGGATATTGTGAAGATAATTGATCAGAATTTATTAACCTTGTTAACCTTATTGATTCAAATTAGAGGAGGGATGGGATGAAGGTGTTTGATTTCATAGATATATTTATTTATTTATTTATTTAATTATATAATAATAAAAATTGTTATATATATATATATATATATATTATTTAGAAGCTTCGAAAATTAGTTATGATTACTAATTATTATATGACAATTTCTATTTTTATTTTTATTTTATCTCTAGTAATCTTAATTAGTTAGTTCACCGAGTTGCGCACTATGTGTCAATATTAATATCAATAAGGAATCGAAATTCCCATAATTTTATATTTTTATATATAAATTTATTTAGAAATATAGTTGTGATTATTTTTTAAATAATTTTTTGTATCAAAATACATGTTAATAATTTTTTTTTTATTTTTTTTAAATTATTTTTTACATCAACATTTCAAAATAATTTAGAAATATTAAAAATATATTAATTTAAAATTAATAAAATAATAAAATAAAAATTTAAATTTTTTTTAAATATTTTTATAACTTAAAAACAAACCGGATGTAAAGCCATACATTGACCATCCCAATCATTGAATAAAAAAAACAAGAGGAAAAGCATTGAATCAAAAGGGATGACAGTGGTGTTTAGGC